TTAGTAAAACGTTCGTTAAAGAAAAATAAAAAAAATAACTTCAAAGTATTATTACCTTCGAAGTTCTTCCAAATGGAAGTCCGGAACCTAAAAATAGAAGAAAAATGAACGTTAGTAAATGTTCGTTAAAGAAAATTAAAAAAAAAGAACTTTGAAGTGTTATTACCTTCGAAGTTCTTTCAAATGAGAGACGGGACCTAAAAAATAAAAGAAAACGAATGTTAGTAAAACGTTCGTTAAAGAAAATTAAAAAAAAAGAAACTTTGAAGTGTTATACCTTCGAAGTTCTTTCAAATGGAGCCAGAACCTAAAAATAAAGGAAAAATGAACGTTAGTAGAACGTTCGTTAAAGAAAAATAAAATAAAAATAAAAAAGAATTTTAAAGGTTTACCTTCAAAATTCTTTCGTCCAGAAGCCGGAGAACCAAAACCCTGCAAAAAAAACAACTGAAACGTTAGTAAACGTTTCGTAAATTAAAGTAACAAAAAAATAAGAATTTCGAAGTTTACCTTCAAAATTCTTTCGTCCAGGAGCTGGAGAACAAAAATCCTACAAAAAAAAACCAACTGAAACGTTAGTAAGTGTTTCACAAATTAAAAACAACAAAAAAAAAATGAAGAATTTTGAAGTTTTACCTTCAAAATTCTTTTCGGGAATGATGATGACCTACAAAAAAAAAATGAAACGTTAGAAAATGTTTCGCTAAATAAAAAAAAAATATAAAAGAATTTGAAGGAATTTTACCTTCAAAATTCCATCCAGAAGCCGTAAACCTGCAAAAAGTAAAAATTGAAACGTTAATCTACGTTTCGTTCAAATAAAAAATAAAAATAAAATAATTTTGAATTTCACCTTCGAAATTCCGTCCAATCCAGGTGGCTACCAGAAAAAGAAAAAGAAATCGAAATGTTAGTAACGTTTCGTTTAAATAAAATAAAAAAAAAAATATGTTTCGTAACGAAAAGTTCATTACGAAACTAACCATGTTGAAAATTCCGTCCAGGCTGGAACCAGAGAGCCGAAAATCTAAAAAAAAGAATAAAGAACGTTAACGTTCTTTTACAAAAATAAAATAAAATAAAGAAATAAAAGAATTTCGAAAAAATACCTTTGAAATTCAGTTCAGGAGAGTTCGGGAGAGCCGGAAACCTAAAAAAAATCGAAACGTTAATAACGTTTCGTTAAAATAAACAAAAAAAGAATAAAAAATAAAAAATAAAATTGAAGTTTACCTTCGAAATTAAAGTCCTTCGGCATCCTGGACCTATAAAGAAGAGAAAAACGAACGTTAGTGAACGTTCGTTAAAAAAAGACTCCCTTTTTTTTCGAAAGTTATTTACCTTCGAAATCAAGTATGAGACACGTACCTTCAGCGTCTTGGACCTACAAAAATGAAAACGAACGTTAGTTAACGTTCGTAAAAAAAAAACTAATAAAAAAAATATATTTTTGAAGGATATAAAGGATATAACCTTCGAAATGAAGCTCTGGAAAGCCATGGGCCTACAAAAAAAGAAAGCTGAAACGTTAGTAAACGTTTCGCTAAAATAAAAGAAAAAAAGTAAAATGAAATTTCGAAGCCTTACCTTTGAAATAAGAGACTGGAACCTGCCTTTCGGTTTCTTGTACAGTTGTACCTACGAAAAGTAAAAAAATGAACGTTAGAATTAGTAACGTTCATTAAATAAAATAATAAAAAAAAATCGAAGATTTTACCTTCGATATGGAAGTTCTTTCGGCTTCCTTTACCTAAAAAAAAAAGAATAACGAACGTTAGTGAACGTTCGTTTAAATAAAAAGAAAAAAAAATTCGAAGGTTAAATTTACCTTCGATATAGGAGCCCGGAACTCGTTTTCGGATTCCTTTACCTAAAAAAAAAAGGAAATATGAACGTTGTTAACGTTCGTCAATAAAGTTAAAAAATATATATATATATTTTTTTTTTTTGAAGGTTTTACCTTCGATATGGAAGTCCGGTTTGTCTTTCGGCTTCCTTTAACTAAAAAAAAAGACGAAACGTTAGTTAACGTTCGTCAATATAAATTAATTTTAAAAAAAATTAATTTTTTTTTTCAAAGGTTTATTTCACCTTCGATATAGGAGCCCAGAACTCAGTTTCGGCTTCTTTTATCTAAAAAAAATAAGACGAAACATTAGTTAACGTTCGTCAATAAAGTTAATAAAACAAAATATTTTTTTTTCAAAGGTTTTACCTTCAAAGTAAAGTCCGGAGCCATTTTTTGGCGTCAGGACCTATAAAATACAAAAACGAACGTAACTAACGTTCGTTAAAGTTAAAATATAAAAAAAAAATATTTCGAAGATTTTTACCTTCGAAATAAGAGTCCGGAGCTGATCTTCAGCATCCAGGACCTAAAAATATGAAAACGAACGTTAGTGATGTTCGTTAAATAAAATTAAAGATTCGGAAGTTAATATACCTCCGAATTTCAAAATCATCGATAGGTTCCATCCGGAACCTATATAATATAAAAAAAAATTATTTTTTTTTTTAAAAAATAAATTAAGATTCAGAGGTAAGCATACC